ATTTTGAAGATCAAATAAAGTAATCTTTGCATGGCACTATGCTGATGCACAGTAAATAATCAGCAGATATTAATATTTCCCAGTTGCTTATATATACGGGTCAAAAAAATTCCAGTGACTGCTCTTACCGACTAGAAACACTGGAGACAACAGCTCTACCTGGAGAGACCCTCCTTGTCTCAGGTCTTCGGTAGCTATCTTTGCCAGTGCATAGAATCCATTTCCTCCATGCTAGCCAAAGCCTGGCTTAACTCCAGAGATTCTGAATCCTCTTATAAAGAAGGGCATTCTCTTCTTTGGTTATGGAGTCTCTTTTATGCCACTTGGCACTGACGAGCTTGTGCTGAGTCTAAGAGAAGGGAATGGGGAAAGACAGAATTTGTTGCAGTAACTAGACTAGAAGCAACAGTTTTGGGATAATTCAGTCCTTCTTGCCTCCTTGTCACATGGACTTACACTGATTGTTTTCACTGGATAGAGCTGGAACCCATTCTACTAAGTGATGTATCTCAAGAATGGAAAAACAAGCACCACATGTACTCACCAGCAAATTGGTATTAACGGATCAACACTTAAGTGGACACATAGGAATAACATTTATCGGGTGTTGGCGGGGGCATGAGCAATATACATAACCTTAACATTTGTCCCCCATAATATGCTAAATAAAAAAAAAGAGAGAGAGAGAACCATTGCTCCTTTACATACCGACCCTGCTTCCTCTTCTAATCAAACCTATTTTCTATAAGGTAGAAATTTATATGATTGTGACTTCTTCAAAGTCAGCTTATGCACTGAGTCCTTTTTTTTTTGAACATCAGGGACCATGTCAATCTCTAGTTGCCTCCAGAAATAAAAGTTTCATTTACTTTAATGAATAAGCTTCTAACATAGCAATTACCTCTCCTTCTGTCCTCAACCTCAGATTTCCTCCCAACTCAAAGTCCCTCCTATGTAAAAACGAGAAACCAGTAGTCCTCTTCTTTCAGGAATTCATCATACCAGGGCCGAGCATCTGAAATATAAACACAGCACAAGCATCATTAGCTGCATGCTCAGGTTGCTGCATCTTCTCTGCTTGTGTTCACCTGGGAGCAGAGTGAGCTGTAGACTCTCTAACCTGGAGACCCAATGGAAGAGCAACCACTAGTATGACCAACCAGGAGGCATTCTTTTATCTCTCTGATATGGCAGCTCACACAGCCTCTCTCCAAGTTTTAGAGAATAGCAATAGGCTGGCACAGTGGCTCACGCCTGTAATCCTAGCACTCTGGGAGGCCGAGGTGGGGGGATCGTTTGAGCTCAGGAGTTCGAGACCACCTGAGCAAGAGCGAGACCCCATCTCTACTAAAATAGAAGAAAATTAATCGGCCAACTAAAAATATATAGAAAAAAATTAGCCAGGCATGGTGGCGCATGCCTATAGTCCAGCTCTTGGAGGCTGAGGCAAGAGGATTGCTTGAGCCCAGGAGTTGGAGGTTGCTGTGAGCTAGGCTAACACCATGACATTCTAGCATAGGCAATAGAGTGAGGCTCTGAAGAAGAGAGGAAGAGAAGAGAGGAAGGAAGGAAGGAAGGAAGGAAGGAAGGAAGAGAGGGAGAGGGAGGAGGGAGGGAGGAGGGAGGGAGGGAGAAGAAAGAATAGCAATAAATATTTAAGCAGAGAGGTATCAAGTAATTTACAGGACAAGTACTTGACATCCTCATATTACTTCATTCCTTTCCACAGAGCACTCATTGAAACACTGCATCTCTTTTTGGTATATCTTTTATCTCCCACTGAAAGACCTTATGCGTTTGTGAAGAACATTTCATTATATTACATTAAAACAAAAACTCAACAACAAAACCTGTGAGTTAGTGCTTAGCCAGATTTATTATCCATACTCTCACTTTCATTCATTCATTATTTGACGAATGTTTTCCGAGTGCCTGCTGCATGCTAGCCACCATGCGAGCTGCTGGCAACACAGAGATCAGGGTGCTAAAGCATCGTTCCAAGGAGCTCACCTGCCAGCATGAGGAATAGCATATGACACATGCTGTGACAGAGGTATTAACAAGGTTCTCTGGAGAGCAGAGAGAAGGGAACAATTATTTCTGACCGAGTTATGGAAATCCAGGAAAAATTCATACAGGCAACGAGATTTAATCTAGGGTTTGCATCATGCATAAATAAGGAGCTCACCATAAGGAAGCTGAATAAGGGATTCCATGCAGTGAGAAAAGTTTAAGCAAAGGCATAGAGGTGGGCTAGGACACGTTTGAGAATGAAGATTACTGCAGTGTGGATGAAATGTAGCATTCATGGGAAGATTGTGAGAATGGGGGAAGTGGCAAGAGATGAGGCAGAAGGTTGGTTGGGACTCTACACGGAGCACATGAATGCCTTGTTAAGTAATCTGAGCATTATTTGAAAGCAATGAGTTGCCAATAGTAATCTTTAAGGGATGTAAGATTGTCTTCACAAACCGCCCTAGTCGAGCTGCCAAAAAGTGAGTTGAATGGTATGAATGTTAGCAGCTTTATCAAATCTCCTGAGCTCCTAGGAAACTGGAGGGAAATATATTCCTGAGAGAATTCAGTTCAATGATTGAATCCTAGCAATATGTAATGTAATATATTGTTATTCACTAACGGATAACTCTAAATACATGTATTAAATGTGAATAATAAAAAGCATGTGTGAAATGGAGTACCCTACTTAACACCCTTTTTGTTTTGGTTTAAGAGATTTATGACTCTATCTAATAATTAATGAATAAAAAATCAAATTGATTTCTTAAGAAACAATGTTTCTTTGAACATTTTCTGTTAAAAGAAATAATCGAGGCCAGGCATGATAGCTCACACCTGTAATCCTAGCACTCTAGGAGGCCGAGACGGATAGATCACTCAAGGTCAGGAGTTTGAGACCAGCCTGAGCAAAAGCAAGACCCTCGTCTCTACTAAATATAGAAAGAAATTAGCTGGACAACTAAAACTATATATATAAAAAATTAGCTGGGCATGGTGGCACATGCCTGTAGTCCCAGCTACTCAGGAGGGTGAGGCAGTAGGATTGCTTGAGCCCAGGAGTTTGAGGTTGCTGTAAGCTAGGCTGATGCCATGGCACTCTAGCCTGAGCAACAGAGTGAGACTCTGTCTCAAACAAAAAAAAAAAAGAAATAATCAGATTTTTACCAAAATAATATAATAGTATCTAAAAACCCTATTATTGATATTTGTTACAATGTATTAGGATTTTCTTCAGAACTGAGCTTGTATATCACTCAAGAAACCCCTCTCGTCCCTCCTCAGAGCAGTGTGTAATGCAGTAGACCAAGGATCCGCAAGCTTCTTCTGTAAAATATCAGATAGCAAATACAGCTGTGTGGGCTATCTGGTCTCTGTTGCAAGTACTCAACTATGTGGCTGCAGGACTTGACAACACATAAACAAATGGGCGTGGCTGTGTTCCAATAAACTTTATTTATGGACACTAAAAATTGAATTTCATATGATATCCATGTGTCATGATATATTCTTTGATATTTTTCTACCATTGAAAAAATGTAAAACCATTCTTAGCTTGCTGGCCATACAAATCCAGGTGGGAAGCTGGATTTAGCTCTCAGACTGTAGTTTGCTAACCTTGCAACAGATCGAGCAGGAATCTGGTCATTGGCGCAGCACTTGTCAGTAAACAGCAGTGAGAACTTAGCTTTGTTCCTGCTTCTGTACAGTAGAGGGGAGGATGAGAGAACCTCTAAAGCCCTGTCTTATTCCGAGGTTCTATGAGACTTTGCCCATTTGTGGGAAGAACATTTCATTATATTCATTTAAGAAAAAACCAACAACAAAACCTGTGAGTTATGTGCTTAGCCAGTTTATTTATCCATACTCTCACTTTCCATTCATTCATTATTTGACGAATGGTTCGATGCCCTCACTGCCATTGCTGCCACCATGCGACGCTGCTGGGCACATAACAGAGATACAGGGGTCTACAGCATCGTTCCTAGGAGCTCACCTGCCCAGCAATGGAGGAATAGCATATGACACATGTGGTGACAGAGCGTCTACAAGGTTCTCTGGGAGCAGATGAGGAGGAACAATTATTTCTCTGACCGATTATGGAATATCAGGAAAATTTCATACAGGCACGGAGTTTTAATCTTAGGGGTTTGCACATGCCTAATAGGAGCTCACATACTAGGAAGCTGAATAAGGCATCCAATGCCGAGTGAGAAAAGTTTAAGCAAAGGGCATAGAGGTGGGCTAGGACCGTTTGGAGATGAGCATTACTGCAAGTGTGGATGAAATGGTAGCTCATGGCGCAGATCTGTAGCGAATGGGGGGGAAGTGCAAGAGATGGGCGGGAGGGGTTGGGTTGGGGCTCTCACGGAGCACCCATGAATGCCCTTTGTTAATGTTATCTCGGCATTATTTGAAAGCAATGAGTTGCCCAATGCTAATCGTTTAAGGGATGCTAAGATTGTCTTCACAACCGCCCTAGGTCGAGCTGCCAATTAAGTGGTGTGATGATCGGTATGAATGTTAGCAGCATTTATCAATCTCCTGGTCCTAGGGAAACTGGAGGGAACTATATTTCCTGGAGGGGAGGATTCAGTTCAATTATTGTCCTAGCAATATGTAATGTTAATTATATGTTTTCACTACGGATAACTGTAAATACATGGTATTTAAAATGCTGGAATAATAAAAAGCATGTTTGAAATGGAGCTCCCCCTATTAACACCCTTTTTTGAATATATGTGCACACATATACACAGGCATATGTTTAAAGAATCATAAGGCCAAATGTATTTATTGTGGATTGAAGTTTGAAGAACAGGCAGTGCTCCAAATGCTTCAGTATAATTAAAGCAGTATTATCTATTTGGATGATAATGGCTGACATTTATACTATTGAACATTTACTATTGCCAAACATTGTGTTAATAGCTTTTGTACATGATCTCAGTTCACCTTTAGAGCAAGCCTGTTCTCATTACTATTTCAAGATGAGAAAAGTGGAGTTTAAAGAGAGGTTGAATATATTCTCAAATATACACAGTCAATAGTAGAGCAAGGATATAACCCCAGACTTCTGGGACTGCTAGCAGAGCCTTGTGCTTTGTGCTAATTACTTCTCTCCACTGCCTGGGTGGGCTGGTGTGTTACGTTAGGGAAGAGGACGGCTGTTAAAAATATATTCACAGAAATGCCCTTGGGCCTGATTCTGGGGAGGTGTGGTGGAACATGCTTATCAGATGCACGAAATGAAATATTTAGCATTAACTGTGGTGATGCTTGTCTGGCCAAATTGAGTCTTCTGGCTCCCTCATATCCAGCAGGGGGCGCTGCAGTTAGTCTGTCTGCATTCCAGTCCCACTCTGCTACATCCTGGGTGACCTCGGGAAGGTCACATCCTCTCTGTGCCTCAGTTACTTAGTACTTACCTAAAAGATGATTTTGAAGATCAAATAAAGTAATCCTTGCATGGCACTATGCTGATGCACAGTAAATAATCAGCAGATATTAATATTTCCCAGTTGCTTATATATATGGGTCAAAAAAATTCCAGTGACTGCTCTTACCGACTAGAAACACTGGAGACAACAGCTCTACCTGGAGAGACCCTCCTTGTCTCAGGTCTTCGGTAGCTATCTTTTGCCAGTGCATAGAATCCATTTCCTCCATGCTAGCCAAAGCCTGGCTTAACTCCAGAGATTTCTGAATCCTCTTATAAAGAAGGGCATTCTCTTCTTTGGTTATGGAGTCTCTTTTATGCCACTTGGCACTGACGAGCTTGTGCTGAGTCTAAGAGAAGGGAATGGGGGAAAGACAGAATTTGTTGCAGTAACTAGACTAGAAGCAACAGTTTTGGGATAATTCAGTCCTTCTTGCCTCCTTGTCACATGGACTTACACTGATTGTTTTCACTGGATAGAGCTGGAACCCATTCTACTAAGTGATGTATCTCAAGAATGGAAAAACAAGCACCACATGTACTCACCAGCAAATTGGTATTAACGGATCAACACTTAAGTGGACATATAGGAATAACATTTATCGGGTGTTGGGCGGGGGGCATGAGCAATATACATAACCTTAACATTTGTACCCCCATAATATGCTGAAATAAAAAAAAGAGAGAGAGAGAGAACCATTGCTCCTTTACATACCGACCCTGCTTCCTCTTCTAATCAAACCTATTTTCTATAAGGTAGAAATTTTATATGATTGTGACTTCTTCAAAGTCAGCTTATGCACTGAGTCCTTTTTTTTTTTGAACATCAGGGACCATGTCAATCTCTAGTTGCCTCCAGGAAAATAAAAGTTTCATTTACTTTAATGAATAAGGCTTCTAACATAGCAATTACTCTCTCTTCTGTCCTCAACCTCATGATTTCCTCCCAACTCAAAGTCCCTCCTACTGTAAAAACGAGAAACCAGTAGTCCTCTTCTTTCAGGAATTCATCATACCAGGGGCCGAGCATCTGAAATATAAACACAGCACAAGCATCATTAGCTGCATGCTCAGGTTGCTGCATCTTCTCTGCTTGTGTTCACCTGGGAGCAGAGTGAGCTGTAGACTCTCTAACCTGGAGACCCAATGGAAGAGCAACCATTAGCTATGACCAACCAGGAGGCATTCTTTTATCTCTCTGAATACGGCAGCTCACACAGCCTCTCTCCAAGTTTTAGAGAATAGCAATAGGCTGGGCACAGTGGCTCACGCCTGTAATCCTAGCACTCTGGGAGGCCGAGGTGGGGGGATCGTTTGAGCTCAGGAGTTCGAGACCAGCCTGAGCAAGAGCGAGACCCCATCTCTACTAAAAATAGAAAGAAATTAATCGGCCAACTAAAAATATATAGAAAAAAATTAGCCAGGCATGGTGGCGCATGCCTATAGTCCCAGCTCTTGGGAGGCTGAGGCAGGAGGATTGCTTGAGCCCAGGAGTTGGAGGTTGCTGTGAGCTAGGCTAACACCATGACATTCTAGCATAGGCAATAGAGTGAGGCTCTGAAGAAAGAGAGGAAGGAAGGAAGGAAGGAAGGAAGGGAGGGAGGGAGGGAGGGAGGGAGGGAGGAAAGAAAGAATAGCAATAAATATTTAAGCAGAGAGGTATCAAGTAATTTACAGGACAAGTACTTGACATCCTCATATTACTTCATTCCTTTCCACAGAGCATCTCATTGAAAACCATGCATCTCTTTTTGGTATATCTTTTATCTCCCACTGAAAGACCTTATGCGTTTGTGAAGAACATTTCATTATATTACATTAAAACAAAAACTCAACAACAAAACCTGTGAGTTAGTGCTTAGCCAGATTTATCTATCCATACTCTCACTTTCATTCATTCATTTATTTGACGAATGTTTTCCGAGTGCCTCCTGCATGCTAGCCACCATGCGAGCTGCTGGCAATACAGAGATCAGGGTGCTACAAGCATCGTTCCAAGGAGCTCACCTGCCAGCATGAGGAATAGCATATGACACATGCTGTGACAGAGGTATTAACAAGGTTCTCTGGGAGCAGAGAGAAGGGAACAATTATTTCTGACCGAGTTATGGAAATCCAGGAAAAATTCATACAGGCAACGAGATTTAATCTAGGGTTTGCATCATGCATAAATAGGAGCTCACCATAAGGAAGCTGAATAAAGGGCATTCCATGCAGTGAGAAAAGTTTAAGCAAAGGCATAGAGGTGGGCTAGGACACGTTTGAGAATGAAGATTACTGCAGTGTGGATGAAATGTAGCATTCATGGGAAGATTGTAGGAATGGGGGGAGTGGCAAGAGATGAGGCAGAGAAGGTTGGTTGGGACTCTACACGGAGCACATGAATGCCTTGTTAAGTAATCTGAGCATTATTTTGAAAGCAATGAGTTGCCAATAGTAATCTTTAAGGGATGTAAGATTGTCTTCACAAACCGCCCTAGTCAAGCTGCCAAAAAGTGAGTTGAATGGTATGAATGTTAGCAGCTTTATCAAATCTCCTGAGCTCCTAGGAAACTGGAGGGAAATATATTCCTGAGAGAATTCAGTTCAATGATTGAATCCTAGCAATATGTAATGTAATATATTGTTATTCACTAAGGGGAGATTCAAACTCCTGGGCTCAAGCAATCTCTGCCTCACCCTCCTGAGTAGCTGGGACTAAGGCATGTGCCACCCATGCCCAGCTAATTTTTTATATATATAGTTTTAGTTGTCCAGCTAATTTCTTTCTATATTTAGTAGAGACGAGGGTCTTGCTTTTGCTCAGGCTGGTCTCAAACTCCTGACCTTGAGGACTACCGTCTCGGCCTCCTAGAGTGCTAGGATTACAGGTGTGAGCTACACGCCTGGCCTCGATTATTTCTTTTAACAGAAAATGTTCAAAGAAACATTGTTTCTTAAGAAATCAATTTGATTTTTATTCATTAATTATTAGATAGAGTCATAAATCTCTTAAACCAAAAAGGGTGTTAATAGGGTACTCATTTCACACATGCTTTTTATTATTCACATTTAATATATGTATTTAGAGTTATCCGTTAAT